GAGTCCCTCTTGAAAAACTCACTATAATTACCAATAAATCAACATACCGGGAATGGGTCGTTACAGCTAAGATGTTTGAAGGCAAAAGAGGCAAAAATTTCTGAAGTGCGCGACATCGGAATTCAGGCCACGTCGTGGGGAGTAGAAGTTTCTTGATTTGAGAAGCTAACTTGGAGAATGCGCGAGGAACCAAGTTGCCATGCCGTGGAGCCTATTCGCCATGAGAGTCGGAATTATGGAAACTATATATATTCAAACATTAGGTCGAATTGAGAGAGTTTGGGCCGATTTTCTTAGGGGGTTGCGATTAAAATCATCTAGAAAACCTTGGGAAGATAAGATATCATTTGGAGCTCAAGAGTTAAAGAGATCTAGAAGAAATCTACATAGATCTATTCGGTTTGCTAGCATTACTCATGTTTAGTCTTAGTTGCATTGATTTAGTGTGTTCTTCTGTACTTCTGTTTGGTGAAGATAAACCTGAACCTTATGTGTTGATTTTGATTTATGGATGATTATTGTTGATTTTGCTTATGTTTGATAATCAAAACCCTATCATGTTTTACGTCTAGTCTTTGAATGACTTGATATGAGTTTATAATGTATATTTATGCATAACATTATGTTTTGAATGTAAAAAATAACCTTGTATTTATATAAAAATGTGGTTTTTAAACGAAAAATATGTATTTAAACGGTTTAGAATGTAATAAAAAATATATTTATACGGTTTCAAATGAAAAATGGTCAGCATTAAATAAAATTGGAAAAAATAATGTTCGATTTGAAACGCAAAAACAATGTCAAAATTGAAAGAAAAAAAAATTACCTTAGTGTCAAAATCGAAAAAAAAAAATTAAAACTTAGTGTCTTTTTTGGAAACAAAATTCAATTTTGACATGTCAGCATGCCACATCATCAAAAACGATACGTCATCATGCCACATCAGCAGGTAACCAGGTTGACTGGTCAAGTGGTCAGAATTGTAAAAAATAAGAAAACACAGTGTCAAATTAGAATTTTGGTGTAAACTTAATATCTTTTGTGCTATTTACCCTTTAAAATGTTTGAGTTTATAAGAAAAATGAAAAAATTATTAAATTAAAGTGTTTTTTCTCTTTTAAATTTAAACAAATAATTTAGATAAATAAAAAAGAGAAATTAATGAGACTTTAATTTAGTAATTTTGAAATTATAAGGAGAGTCCACTAATGAATACGATATCATTAATTATTACATTTAAATATTATATCAAACTAGGTGTGAGATCCTATTACTATGCAGGTTGATTAATAAAATATTAAATATTAAGATGTAAAATTTTGAAATATATACGAACGAAACGATGAAAGCTATGTCTTTTTGATTAATAAATTTTAAAATAGATATATCGTCTTTATAAAAAAATGGGCAATGCACGGAACAACAACGCAACATATTACCCATTTGAGAAATTAAATATCCTCCTACTTTTCTTCCTAAAAATCCTCCTACCCAATTAAATGATGACATGTGTCATATTAGTATATTAAAATATCATTAAATGAGCATTAAATGTTACACATATCACTATTTCATTGAGTAGGACAATATGTAGGAACCAAAAGTAGGAGGATATTTAATTTCTCTACCCATTTATACTAACAAAACATCAAATAGTATTTGTGTCTACTAAAGCTGTTATATTTTCTGATTTTTGTTGATAGTTATGTTCCAATAACTCAAGAAAAAGTTGGTTGTATAACATACGCTGAAGTTGAAAAAAATTATATGACATTATTAATTTAGGTTATCCGATGATGAAACTGTAAGAAACTATATATATATATATATATATATATATATATATATATATATATATAATATATATATATATATATATATATATATATATATATATATATATATATGTATTTATTGATGATATTTGAGAAATATGAAACTGTGATGTAGGAATCTCATTCCCATTACACCAGCAAATATCCAAATCAATGTTTTTTACTGCAATACCCTCATTCTATACAACTTTTGACACATTGAACAAACTTTTTAAAAGAAAATTAAAAATTAATCATTATACCCCTAATTATTTGAAAGGAAAATGGATTTTATATTCTATTTAAATAAAATAATAAAATTTTGATAAAATTTTATAAGAATGTTGCAACTTTATATTCTATGTCATGGTGGGATGAAAAAAAATAGTGGGAGGAATAGTATTTCCTTAAACCAAAATATTTGATTATTATACCATCTTGCTTTCATTTTTTCTTCTACAACATTTATTTTAGAACTTGTCTTGCACAATCCAACCCTACATAAGAATCATTGGGTAAAAGAAAAGAAAAAGAGCAATACTTGTTCATAAGAGAAGGAAACAGTGTTTGGTGGATGTATGACCAATGAGTTAACTTACGTCTTGATGAATCAAAATCAAAAAGTGAAAAAAAAAAAAAAAAAAAAAGAACAAATGTAGAACTTGGTCAAAGATACTTGCATAGTATTTGACAAACTCCAAATAATTGTCCCCATTTCCTTATAGTTGTGATTTTTTAAATCAGTTTTAAATCCAACTTCAGTTGTTTATGCTTTTATATCCATTATATAGTCCATCTTCTTTCAAACTATATGGATAAGTGTTGGCACATTGATCCACCTGTAACACTCTCTTCTAAGAAGAACATCATCACCCATAAATGCAGTTTTATCAATGAACTTCGGGTATATGATTAAACAGACATCAATCAGAGAAGCAAACTCTCAAAATTCCATGATTGCTCCAAATTTACGTAATAATCATGATGAGATTCTCAAACTGGAAAATGATTAGAAAAATGTTTACGCACTAAAATGCCTTAGGAGGTACAATGTAGTAAATGGGTACAACTTTAAAGTGAAGTTGGAAACTAAAATAAGACATCAAACTAAAGTAAAATCATAAGGATGGAGTAGGAGACATAATCAATTAAATTCAGTTGTTCCTCAATTCAACTACTTCGGGCATCTGTGAAATTGGCAAGAGTTTCATCATTGGAGATTTGGGGATAAACCCCCAAACATTTTTGGGTTTCAGAACGTCAGCTGCATATAAACAACAAAAATTTCATTAGTAATTAAAATCATGGGGTAATTCAAATTATAAGACGGATGATTAAAGTCAGAACTATACCAACAAAGCCCCGAATTCCGATATTGGAAAGAAAAAACTCGGCCTGTAGCGTAGCAGCCAAAAACAAAGCCCACTTTTTGTGGTAAGGGTAACATACGAGCATGGGCCCAGTGCCAGACTTCCGATGCACGGTTTGAAGTAGAACTCCTTTTTGAGTTGTTACCGAAAAAGACATTTCTTGAAATACAAGGCTTAGGTAAAAACTGAAGGAGTGGTATTTTAAAAAAATAATTACCCATATATATATATATATATATATATATATAGTTAGGTTAATGTGAGATGATCTAATTTTGTAAGACCGTGAGACGCAATCTTAGTCATTCATTTGGTAGATAAAACAAAAAACATTTTTAAAATGGAAAATAATTGAAAATTTTCGAATTTTTTTTTCAAATATTATTTTTGAAATTTATATTTTCCAAAAAAAAAAATACAAAAAAATATAAAACAAAATAAAAAAAATACCTTTTTTACATAGTCTAGTAGAATAAATAAAATATTCAATATATCTAAGAAATCTAGTATAATATTCTAACATTCTAAAAATCACATTAAAATATTTACAGTGTAATATTCTATTAGAATATTTCACGTATTTTTCAAAAAAATAAATGGTAATTTTATTTATTTATATTTATATTTTTTTTAGGTAATCAAAGTTCCGAAAATAATAATTAAAAAAAGAATTTTTGGATTTTTTCTTTTATTTTGCATTTTAAAATTATTTTTAGATTTGGTCTCACAGTCTCATAAAATTAGCATGGTATCAAATGAACCTGAAAATATATATATATATATATATATATATATATATATATATATATATATATATATATATATATTCAAAGTAATTATTGTGTTATTGTATGCATAAATATGGGTCAATCAATTTTACTTATTTATTAGTGTATATTATTGAATTAAATATAATTGAAAAATATTATCTAAATTAATTATCAGGGTATTTTAGTCAGTTAATATAGATTTAATAAATGAAAATTGCATATTTTAAGGGATCATAGATTCTATTAATTTTAAAAATCCAATTTTAAGAATTATAATTCTTTTTATTCGGACATTCGGACCGAATATGTTTATGAGTATATTCAAAAATAAAAATATTCTTGAAACATAAATAATAAAAATATTCTTGAACCTATTTCTTGATCATGACTTTAAAAACTTCTTGCAAAATAACAAATTCTTGAACAATCAATTGAAGAATAAAAACAAAAAATATATTATTTCTTATAAAATACGGATAACAATTGTTATTACATTTATTGTTAAAGAATAAAACTAAAAAAACTTTCAAAACAGGAAAGAAAACATCAAAATCTAACAACGACACTAATACATTCTAAAAGAATAATGTTGCTTAGAATCACTTTCAATTGTGTGGTACGTTCTTCAAACATCAACTTATGTGAAAACAAAACCAAATTGTAGTTTAGATTCGAATAATGCATTAGCAAATGAAAAATAAAAAACTAAATTCCTTTGGAAAATATGTGGACTTGTGAATTGCACCAAAACCAATAACCAAGAATTGTAGAACATGCATATGTCAGTGAGAAAATATTCATACTCCATTCCAACAGAATTAGAATTCATGATTCCATTCCAACAGAATTGGAATTTGTAAATCCATTCCTATAAAATTGGAATCTCACCGATATCATCCATTGAATCATCTACAGAAACAAATTGATTTTTATCATATAAGAAGAAGTAAATTTGATATGAAAATAGTGACAAACTACCTTCACTTTGTACTTTACATATAAGAAGAAGGTTATTGACACAACCTCTTTAATTTTTCATGAACCTAGTCCACCATCAGAGGAGAAGACCGACGATCAGAGTGAGGATGAGGGCCGACTCCTTCGCATGGAAGAGAATCAGCCAGAGCAGCAGCATCCGACGACAAGGGAAAAAACGGACGATTAGCGTTACCGACGGGAACACGAACCAGATTGGCCTCCATAGCCATAGGAAGAGAGTTCGAGACCTCGACAGAAAGCGGTGGTCCAACATCAACACTTTTTTCATAGAATTTCCATATTAATTCTTCAAGACTTAACCCAGTTTCAATAAAGAAGGAATCGAAGAAGGTGAAACCTGATGAGCGTCGACGATCTTCATAGCACCATCAGAATGCGACAATGACATTTGGGGAGCCATTTCTCTGGATCAATATCCTCTGGTGTATCGACAATAGATGGTGGTTTTAAGAGGTTAGTAAGATCCAACAACAAATGATGGTGGTGATGATCTTTTGTTTTGGAGCTAGGGTTAGGGAGGACCGAATGGGATAAAATACAATATTGTTGATTGTTTTAAAAACGGATAAAGGTAGGTCAAAGTAATTACCATAATTATAGGGGTGTATTTGTAGAAATTACTAATCAAATTACTAAATTACCCTTATTTATTTGTTTGATTATTTATTTATTTTTTAAATTTTGATTGGCCCACATTTATGCATACAATAACACCATAATTACTTTAAACACCTGAACCTATATATATATATATATATATATATATATATATATATATATATATATATATATATATAGGAGTAGGATCAAATGAGAACACTTAAATGTTGAGAATACGAGAACAGATCACAACCTTGTAAATAATTAGATCTATGACAATTATTAACTGGACCATTTTTGAATATTTATAAAACTGATGTGCTAAATTTGTAACTTTGAAATGGAGAGAATGGTACAATAGGAAATCCATATAATTTAATTAAATAGAAATTCCTATAATTTCTCTATCTCTCTCTCTCTCTCTCTCTCTCTCTCTCTCTCTTTCTCTCTCTCTCCCCCTCTCTACTTAACTAGAAAACACTAATCTAATTATTTTGAAAAAATCGGCGCACACCCCCACCTTCTTGACCACTGTTTTCGTTCATCGTCTTTTGCCATCCTCCATCGTCGACCATCGCACAACCACCATCGAGCCTCCTCCTTAGTCTAAACTTGGTCATTCACACGATTGCTCCCCTCTTTGGATCTTCACGATTTCAACAACAATAGAGTTCATTTTATCTTAAATGGGCAAACATAGGGGAGAACCAAAAAAACAGAGAATCATTCGATCTAGGGAGAGCTTTCTGGAGCGTGTAAATAGATATGAATTAGAACCAAGAAATCATTCATCTTCATCACGCATATACTTTCATCTTCTTAACTACACTCCATCGCACCATCACTACCCATCTACGCAGCCTACGCCACATCGACTTCAGCCCACCATCTTCACATAATCAACATACAACCTGTAACAAATCGATTGCTCCAGGAGGATATCATCAACGTCACTCCATCTTTGTTGATTCACCGATTTCTTGTGATAAACATCATAACTACACATGTAAGTCGACTTATTAAGAGCATCATTACACACACCCCAGAAAGCTCTCCCCGGTTTGCCACTTTCATTTTAACTTTCTTTGTTCTTCATTTTTCTAGGTGAATTGTAGACCACTATTCTTCATTTACAAACCCTATATCTCTTGGTTCTAATTCATCTCATACCAGCCCTTATAATTAATGGAAGAGATAGCCACTCAAAGCTGTAATCAAATTCAAGGTAAAAGGTTGTGCACATAAGTTGTTTGATGAAATACGTGAGAGAGGTAGTCATTTGTGAATATTAGGGTATTCATTTGTTAATAACACTATATTCATTTGTAAATAGAAGTGTAACCATGTGTGAATGAGTGTATTTATTTATGATTAGAGGTATTCTTTTATTCATTTGTGAATACCAGGGTATTCATTTGTTAATAACAATGTATTCATTTGTAAATAACAGTGTAATCATGTGTGAATAAGTGTAATTATTTATAATTAAAGGTATTCTTTTATGAAGAATGATAATTTTTACACCCCTTTTATTTTCGGTTGATTAAAAGAAATGAATTGAATTACTTGTAAATTGATATGTATTCATTTGTGGTTGTAGTATTATTAGTTTTTTTTTTTTTTTTTTTTTTAATTTTATTTTTTAAATCATTTATGAATACAAATGTATTGATTTGGTGTTGGATTTCTATTAATGTTTTTTTTTAAAAAGACGTGAAATAGGAGAAAAAAATATTTTTTATGAAAAAAAATTTAATTTTTTTTAGTTTTTAATTTTTTTTGATAAAAATGTATTTTTATATTTCATTAATAAGAAAAATAAAAAATCAAATATTTCCTTCTTTTTTGGTAATTAATCCTAAATTTAAGGGAATTTGATTGATTTTATTTTATTTTAATTTAAGTAAAATATACAATTACTAATATGCCCTTATATATTGATTGGTCTAGAACTATTCTCGCGTTCTCAACCTTTTCTGTGTTCTCATTTGATATATATTATTAATACTATTGACGACGGTGAGTCTAACAACCGTCATCCAAATCTGAGCCGTTTAAACTCCACGAACTTTGAATCTCAGCCGCATAAACTCGTATTTTACAGTTAATCGGAGGTTTTCAGCAGACGACTGCCCCACCTCCCACGTTCCTCCGCTCCATCTTCTTCGTCGACCACATAATAGAAACCGTAGCAGCGATTCCTGATAGTTCTCGGTGATGTTACATCTTCCTCGGTCACGTCTCTTTCCTCTTTGATCTTTGTTCTGCTTTACATAAAACTAGGCGAATTCCCGCGTGTTGCGCATAATACAATTATATTGTGTAATATCCTGATTTTTTAACGGGTGGTTATTGGTTAGAAGTTTGTATGACCAAGTTAATAAAATTCATCAACATCAAGATTAAAACCCGAGATATCCAATTTAAAAGACAAAACCTCTACTAAGTGGCTTCACTCTACATTGACATTTAATGAAGTATACATTTCGGTTTATGTTTTATATTTAAATATATAAATATCTTTTTAACTATTAGAAAAATATTTCTATGATGTTTGATGTATGCTTGTCATTTGAAACCATATTTATGTCAACCAATAACATATATGTATATACTTGGTGGAATACTGAAGAGTTTGTTTTAACTTAGACTAATAAATGATTTTAATGTATTAAAAAGATCAAATTAATGAGGTTAAAGTGAATGATTTAATTAAGTTAAAAAAAACTTATGTGAAAGTTCAAAAGCTTGTGTAACTTTCAAATGAATAATATGCAATAAGAAGACATTTATTATAAAATAAAATCCAAGATTAGTGAATAACTAAAAAAATTCATATTTTTAACAATACTAGTACTTTTTGTTAGATGTTTGTTTTATAATTTCAAAATTTATTATCATTTCTATTATTAATTATTAAGAATTTTTTGTAGGTTTAAATTGGGCAAGTAGGTTGTTCGAGCTATGTGTCTTTTAATAAAAGCTCAAATATTGTTTTATTGCGACTAATATGTTTAATTCATTATTCAATTAGTGTTGATTTAAGAAAATCATTGCATTGATCATTTTCAAGAATATGAACCATGTGAACAGAAAAAAAAAAATAGAATTAAAAACCAAAATATACAACTTATACAACAAACAAACAAAAATTAACGATGGTAAAGAGTAAAGTTTTGGGCATCATCTTTAAAAACATCAACACATTCAAATATTTCATTAAAACAACTTATAGAATATATAACAAAAAAAACTACCAATTTTCTCAAAATGCGATAAACTTTTGAGCTCATTAAAGTGAATTTATACATCTCAATATGAACTTCAGCACAAAAACTTGCATATTATTCAAATGTGAGGTAATATTCAACTTAAATATTTGTTCAATCTTGGAGTGTTTATAAATCAATTCAAAAAATTATACATATTACATAATAAGTAGAGTTGGAATCGTAAAACTTGAAGTTAAATCATCACCCTTGATTGTTCCATTCACCAATTCAAATTTACCCTCAATAATAAAAACTTATAAGAAAGGGATGGTGTATAGCCTTTCCTTTCAAAAAAATTTACCGTACCTGTATGCTAAATAGAATATAGTACCTGTAGTGAATGGAATAGTGCATCTTTATGTAATAGTTTTTACCCCGAATATAACATGTGACATACCGAAAACAACCATACAGTGACCAGTTGGTAAAAACAAAAAATATATATTGAAATTTATATGAAAAACAATACACTCATAAGAGTCTTTTTTTCTTCTTTAAAGGTCCATAATCCTTGCAAAATATGATAAAGATGTTCCTATTATTCACCGTATTTATACTCGGTATTGTTATGTTTAATGATGTTCATGTTATTTTTACATTAAAGAACCAATTAATAATCATTATTAAAAAATCTTTTGAGTGGTATTAATTAAATTATGGGGTTTCAAATGCATAAGAATCAAGGAAATAAGAAATTTTTGGGGTTTCAAATGCATAAAAATCAAGGAAAATTGCTTCCTTTGTAAGAACATATGAAGATCGATGGTGTTGGATAGAGTATAGAATAGGATTAGTGTCGACGCATTCTTCCCCAAATCTTCTCCCACCTTCCCCTGACTTTGTGCTCCTCCAACTACTCTCTGTATGGTATTTATACCAACAAATTACAGAGGGAGAGCGTTTGATTTAGGGTATCAGGTTAGGGGTTTTGCTTTCCCACATCCCCTTCTCTACATATGCTACCCCCATTCTTGCCTCTTCCTCACTATATCTAAAATTTCTGCTTGAATATCTTTGTTGTTTTCGTTAACATGTGATTTTTGATTCATTTTTCATTTGGATTAATCGGTTTCTTCAAATACATCGTATCAACTTTTAGTTGTTTTTATAAGTTAATGAAATTTTGTTCGTGATTCCTTTGTCCAGTTTTATGATGTTAGTTTCATGTAATCGTCTATGATTTGTGCATGTTACGGTTCTGATTTAAGGGATTTTTGATGTTAATTACCGAAACAGGTGAATTGAATAACACAATGAGAAGATGATGATGATTTGCACTTCCTCTGCATCATCGTTTACATTTTTCTCAACTCTATGATCATCCTCCATTAATCAATCATCTTCCATATGCTTATGCTTTTGTTAAAGTAACAATTTTGACTTCTGGGTTATTTGTTTAATTTTCTAAATTGTTTATGCACATAATGATTTGTCTATTTTTGTGATATGTATGAGACTGCACTTGATTGGTTGTTGCTTGTGTGTGGGTGAACAAGAAGGAGAATCAAAAAGAGGAGTCGTGCATCAGGTGGTAATTCAATCTTCAAATATGTTTCTTGCTAGTTTTTTTTTTGTTGTTAGTGATGGAACAAATAATATGATAGTTAAATATATCTCTTTTTTGGGTTTGCTTTTAGTTGTAGAAATCAACATAAATAGACAGAGATGTTGTATGGTATATTTCTTTTGAGTGCAATCATAAGGAAAAGAAAAGTTTTTTCTTGTCTCAAAAAAATAAAAGTTGTTATGATTCTTAATGTGATAAAGTCGTTTAGAACTTAATATTCTCTATTGAGTTACTTATTTCTAATTGAAGCAAATTCAAAGTTGTTTAGTTTTAATGTTCTTATAAAAGCCACAAGGAAGTTTCGTTTTTTTCTTTGCTTTCCATCATAACCATGAACTATGATCATATCATAGATTCGTAGATGTTTTTTTTAATCTTTGTGTGTATGTTTAGGGAGAAGAAATGCTTGAGAAAGGAGGAATGACAGTTTTGAAGGCTTATCAGTTCCATTATCATGAAGGTTTAGATCAAATCCTAACGTTACATATATGATGATATATTGATATAGTGTTTCTTCCATGGCATGGTTTATGTCCAACCAAGAGACAAGTTTTGTTACATTGGAACAACATGTTTTGGCATATCCTCCAAGTAAGTCAGAGTTACCATAATTAATTACCCTTTGTCTTTACCTTCTTATGTATAAACTCAAAAAATAGAAATTTTGATTCTTTTTGAGTGATTGATATATATATATATATATATATATATATATATATATATATATATATATATATATATATATATATATATATATATATATATATATATATATATATATATATTGCAGGTTCCAGATAATTCATAATTATATTATATTTATTTTATTTTATCTAATCTTTCCATGTGGGTTGGTAAAGGAAGAGACGTTGGGTTAAATCAAATAGCCCTGTTTGAAGGCAAAGTCGTAGGTGGAAATGGAGTTTTAAGCAAGGACGTGTACAAAGTTGGTGAAATGTTTGACTTTTTCAGAATGCTCTATTTCTACTTCACTACAATTGGTCAATTTACAAGTGAACTTTTTTTTTTCTTTTATTACATCTTTTTTTTTTGTACACTTGAGGATAATTTTATTGTTTTTTGTAATGCTATATAAGTACTTTCATGTTTCTTCCATTTATTTGAAACCATTGTATACTTACTCTTCTGATGGTAAAGTTTCAAAGTTAGGAATTTGTGATTATGATTCCAATTCTTTTGTTTCATGCTGAAAATAATAGAAAGTGTAATGAGCGGGATTCAAAATTGGTTTAAGTAATATAATGTTAAGATAATGTGGCGTAATAAAAATTAGCCCTTCTACATGTAAGAAATTGTTTTTTTAATGTTACTTTCATCAGTTATAAAGTTTAATGAGACAATGTATTTGTACATCAACACCTTCTCCACTTACACGCTATGAATGTATCTTGGTAAGTTTTAATTGCTAAATGTTTATTAATTTTAATTGTAAAAAGAACTATGCTAACTAATTATTTAACTTGGTATAATATATTATTCATTAAAATTTCCAACTATCCATTTTGAAAAAAAAAAAAAAAAAAAGAAGTAATCAATCTCATTACACATATTTTGAAAATGGTAATGGGATAATCTATTATTAATGATGCTAACTTTTGCCTAATTTAGGAGCACTTATTTGTAACTCTTTTTTTTTTTTGATTTTCAATTGCTTTGTCCCAAAAATACTCTAGTTTTTATGTAAAATTATGAGCAATGAGCCAGTTTTTAGAAAATTTTTCCAAAATACCCTTATGTTTTTTTAAGTAAAATCATAAATACAAGTATCATACTTTATGGAGCACATTTGCAACTTAAAGTATGATGCTTCTTTTCCATTCTAGCTTTGGTAAGAAAAGTAAAAGTAATAATTATGGGTTATTTGTCATACGAAAATTATATATATATATATATCCCCTCCCCTATTCTAATAAATAAAACCAGCAATCAATCAGCCTCCCTAAATCGATTTTTCCCGCTCTTTTTTCTAAGTGAATTTCCAAAATTACCATTTGGTCAATTTTACTCATCCCTCAGAAAAATCAGGAACATGATCTTCACTGTTTAAAATCCAAAAATCAGGGATTTGAATCGGTGCTCTACTTATCTTTCGGTCTTCATTCTCTTCCTGATTTTCTGTAGTGTTTCCTTATCTGATCCCTGATTTTTTGAATTCAACAGTTCTTAATCTGTTTTGAAATCACGATAAATTTTTTTACAAATAAGGAACGTAATCTATCCAAAATTGAAATCGATAGAGCATGGCTTCTATGGTAAAATTCGGTTCAATACTTGTCCCATTCAAACCCTCGATCCAATCAATGGTTAATCATTAATGGTTATCCTTATTCTTCTTCTCTGGATTCAAGGCGATGTCTAGGTCGTGAAGCTATGGCGCCGTCTCCACCCTCCCAGCTCCGATAATTCGGTTTGAAATTTAGGTTTGTCTTTCTACCCTTCCCCTTGATGTTTCCGGGTGGGATGAAATTGAAGTCTTTTCGGTATTTTTTTTTGGATGAAATTGATGTATTTTCAGTATTTTATTTGCTAAGATTACGGTTTTGGACTCTGAATTTTTCCATTTACAGACCAGACGCAGTTAAGCACATTCTATCCTCACCCCTCTTCCCGGTTGAGCTCTCTGTCAAAGATATGGTCAAAAACTGGGTCAAACTATTTTTAAAATTTGATAAAGTTGAGGTGAATTCTTTAGAGAAGATGATGGAACAAAGGCAAAGGTTTGTGAATGGGTTATTTATGCATATTTTTAACTCAAATGGGATTATTTTTTCCTGTTTTAGTTTGTTAAAATTTCATCTGTGCACTATTTTTTAGGTGATTTCCACCTGGATTGCAGGTTTCAGCTAGAGTTGCGAAAGTATCTTTCACTTAGGAGACATAAGTAAGATTTCAATTTTTATAAAGAGAGGTAATTCTTATCTTTTCTCTATGGTTTGTTTTGATTAGGGTTGTTAGTCTAATTTTCATAAGTAATAAGTATGATGGGAACAATAGTCGTGATGTAAATAGGCCAACCCTTTTGCAACTCAATTGAATAAATTCAGTAGGTTTATTTCTTAGAAGATGATTATGAGTCAAGAACCTTGTGAAGCTCTTTGATTTCAATTAGCTATGATTGTTGAAAAATCATTTCATTACTGATTCAAATTTCAAGATTGCAGCCCTCAATTTAAGGTATGCCCGCTATAAAATCTACATATTTTTTGATACCATTCAATTCTACCCTTAAAATCATGCATTACAAATGACCTTGCTAATTGCTATCAATGCGAATTATATTCGTGATACTTCAAATGGGTATATTGTTAACATTTGGTGATCAAATGCCGGTAAATTCTTTCTTCAATCCTTACAGTTTTCTATCTTTCAAAGTTTACCCAATTTTTAGTTTCATTATGATTCCATATTTATTGTTACACAGAGAATATGAAATCTGAATTCATGTCAACATATTTGAAATTGATGGAAGACAAATGATAAGGCTTTTATATAACCTGTATCCTTTTAATCCATTTATATAAAACTGACATTATATATTTCTTTTCATTTCACCTTAGCTATCAGCTTACAAGAAGCCTGTTGTGGAAATATTAGATGATAGGTACATTTTTCCATTTTTTTTAAATATTTTATGATCAAATACAGTCAATGTATTTGATGTAATTTTCGTTTTCGGTATGCAAGAATTTATATTCTATTACCCTTGAAGGTGAACCACACAATTTCCTCTAATAAATTGGATATTTATCACTTAACATACTTCTTTTTGTTACGATTCTAAGCATATTTCCATTTATTTACCATTTTACCCTTGGCTTCTGAGTTGACAAGGATGACCAGGATTCAGTTGAAGTTATTTGTAGAGTTATGAATTGTCTTACTCCTCAGACATACCTTTCATCAACTATCATGAACTTTTATATACGGGAAATTTATCATTTCATCTTTTAACAATTAAAAAAAGTATTTTACATATATACCCTTCAAAAATATGTCCAAGTAGCCGACATGACTTGCTTTTTTTCGGCTAGATATCTTCAACAGATGACATCATCAGAAAAAATATAAGCAAATTTGCATTTTTTTCAATACATATTTCTATAACAAACTCCAAAAGGTATCCACTTTTAAGTACTTCTCTAAATTATCTTTGTTTACTAATTTGTTTTTA